CGCTCTTGGACCGCAGGTTGCTAACATCCGGTCTAGGAGCAATGCACTGGGCCTAATCTGGGGTAGTGCCATCCCATCCAAACTAAAGACAATAAACATATGGATCCTGAGGCTCCACATGTCTACAACCACCAGGGCTTGGTTGAAATCTGTTGTCTCCCAAACAGGCCCCCATAGCCATTATGTACTGGAAAGGGCAGCTACAGCATCCCTGGATCACCAGGGGTGAAGATGTAAAGCTGAGTATCATCAGCATATTGATGGTATCTCATCCCATAGTGTTGGGTGATCTCACCCAGCAGTTACACAGAGATGCTAAAAAGGAGTGGGGAGAATACCATGTCCTGAAGAACCCAACGAAGAAGTAGCCTATTAACACAGATTGTAACCAGTTACGGAAAAAGAAACTAAACACTGCATTGCCCAGTCCCAAATCTGGCAGCTGGTCCAAAAGGATACCATGATTGATATCAAAAGCTACAGAGAGGTCAAGGAGAGCCAAGTATGGATGGACTACCTCTACTCTACTGTCATCAGAGATCATCAACCAGTGTGACAATGTTGTTTTGTCATATGAGCGGGCCTGAAACCTGAGTGAAATGAAGCTAGGTAATCCGTGTCATCCAAGACCCTCTGGATCTGCAATGCAACCACTTTATCCATAACTTTCTCTAGAAAGGGAAGGTGGAAAACTGGGTGACAATTGTCCAGTACAGTGGACTCAAATGATGGTTTCTTAAGGCAGGGGCAGACCATGGATTACTAAAAGGATGTCAGGAATTCCCCCTCCTGTAGTGATGCTTTAATCATTGCTTGTACCCATTCAGAAGTCACTGTTCTGGAAGTTTTCAGTAATTAGGAGAGACAGAGATCAAATAAGCAAGCAGTTGCACTGACAGTCCCAAAGATCCTATCTACTTCCTCAAACTGCTCCCACCGAATAGGGTAAATCCATTCCCTGGGCATTTTAAATGGAATTGCACCACACTTGGCTTCAATCAAGAGTAAATTTGAGTTATTCCATCCATCAAGTGTTGCACAAACTCTTCTGTGAGGCCCTGAAGATGATCTTCTGAGATCTTTCCCCAAGAAGGGATGAAATGCCCTGAACAGGGCCTTTGGACGACACCCTGTGACTGCAATGTGCAGAGAAATACTGACATTTCACTCTTACTGTGCAGGGTATGCCTTAATCACTGCTTTAATATGTGATTGGTTGAATTCATTCTTTGTTTTCCAACAATAGTGCTCTTGTTGTTGACTCTTTTCAGTTCCCCTGTGAACCATGGGGAGTGTTAGGGCTGATGGGTCAAGAGAATAAATGCAATTCTGTTCAGGGCTTCAGGCATTCTCAGATTCCAGGTTGCAGCCAAAGCTTCCACGGGAACATTCCTCAGTGTCTCCGGGATTTCCCTCAGCTTTCTTTGGAACCCAAGCAAGTTCTTCAGTCACTGCGATAGATCACATGAATAAGTCTAGTGCTCCCCACAGTGGAGGGAACAGTATAAGAGAATCTCAAGATCATCAGGGCATGGTCTGATCATGACAAAGGGGATATTGACAGGTCCCCCACCAGGTCACCTTGCCATGATCCAACATGAAGATTATATCTGGAGTGTGATCAGGCCATGGATGTCTTGGGATAGATCCATGGTGATCGTGGTGGCTATGAATTCCTGAGAGACAGAGTTTGGCAACAGAGAGGGAGAAGCAAAGTTTAGGTAAGAAACAAGGCCGTTATAGAAAAGATGTTTGAGTCTAGGGAAAGGGAAAAAAGAAACTCAACTCTAGTTACATTTGTAGGTAGGAGAATTATTTTGGTTAGTTTTCAAAATTCTGAAAAATGATACTACCAGCAATAAATATATTTCCAGAAATCCAAGGAAATCTTCTTTCCTTAACTTTCCAGCCTCTGAGAGCTTGACAGTCTGCATTAAAAATGGCTAACATTAAACTTAACTAATAAAATGCTGTTTTCTCAAAAGGGAGGTTTTACTACTAATGATTTAAAAGATTAAGTTTTGGTTACTAGACACTTATAAATCATGGCTTATCTTCCAAAATCATGTCCATAAACACCAAAAATTCAATTGAAAATAAAATAAATCAAATAGCCAAAATCTCATGAGAAATTGACATTCCATAAACCTTTATAAAAACTTGATATAAATTTCAGCAAATCTTTTGGATTTAAAAATATTTTTAGCAATTGAGATTTTGTTGGGGTAGGGGAACTACTTAGACCACTGAAAGTTGTTAACCTCTGTGACAAGGCGTTATATCACTATAGTGATGATTATAGATTAATTTATTTATGTTGACTATTATGATTAATCATGTTTTATAACTCTGAGCTCAACATCATTTAAAATTAAGAACTGAGATTTCTTTCAGTTAACCACAAAATGTTATCATTATTTACTTACAATAGCATCTATTTGTTCCAGAATTTTCATAAACTGCTCAGCAGTTCCCTTTATCCGCTTATCCAACTGACTAAGAGCTTCAGTTTGATTATTCTTTGCAAGAAAATCCTATATGAAAAATACACTGTTTACATTATGCTTATTCATAACTTAATTGGAATAGGCATTTTATTATAACAGCTGTAAGAGCTATGTTCCTATAATATCCATAGTTCTGTAAATAATTCCATGTATACAAAAGGCAATATGTGTCCAACTTTCTATGCAGACAAGTACAGACATGTGAATATAAATGAAATTTACTAATGTACATCAGTAAGGCTGGATCACCATTCACTTTCATTTGTTCATCAACATCACATACTCAAACTTCCTTTATATGCAGGCTTCTATTCTCTCATATTGTCTTCTCTCCTTATTGCTGTACAAGCTGGCTGTTTTCTATCTCAACTCTAAATCTATGGAGCCTTTTCCCAACATCATATGTACAGATCACACATGCTCTTACACATCCGCAACATTAATTAGGAGGGTTACTTTCACATCTAGGCTCTATTATAATGTTAACAACACTCACAATCAAAGTCATACTACTCTTCCCTCACTGAGAGTGCCTTCCAAAATCTCAATTAGAATAAATCTATCACAATTCTAGAGTAAAAATATGCATGATCTGTGTTACATCTACACACACCTCAGAGTCATACCTCCAGAGCTTATATATTATACAGCAATCATTCCAAAGAAAATTCAATTTCATATTCATATAAAGATATCTTTGATCACACATTTTGCTGGATTTTCTAAACTGGATTTTCTAAAGATTATCTAAACTGACAAATTTATACCTGACTTTTACAAATATATATTAACTATTGAAATGTAAAGTAACTTACTTTCTGAATCTCTCTAAGATCTTTATTTACTTCATCTATTTTTTTAGCAAGCTGTTCCACTGATTTCTCCAAAACTTTTAATTTCTTTAATTCAGTCTCCTCCTCAGGACTGTTCTGTTAAGAGAAGAGAACATTACTATCATGAAGTACCTGGTTTGCTGGGGTGGATGCATTCAAATAAAAGGCAAAAATATTATAATTACAGAACAATACTGTATTTAAGGGACCAATTGAATGTCAGCCATAAATCACAACAAAATAGTAAAACATACGACGAGCAGGAAGTTATATGGCATAACTATACCCTATTCCATTTGGCCTTAAGCTGATGCCTAATGTTACAGTCTGAGTATAACTGCTCTGCAATCTATGGAAAAAGTTAGGTGCTAAACCAGCCTTCTGCCTTCAAATTGCTACATATTTACTTGTAGCTAGGTTATAGATAACAATCTCCAACTGTCAAAATCTAAAGTTTTTAGTACAACCTCTGCTTGATTACTGATGCTATAATAAGTTAAATTATATTTATGCCTAAGAAAGACGGGACAATTTTTTTCATGATATCTTCCAAATCCTGCTTCTAAGAAGCACGAATGCAATTATATTGTCAATAACGATGGATAGAGAAATCCACCCAAATTGCAACCCCCCACCAGAGAAGTCAGCAAGGAAAGCTTTAGGCTGACGTCCCTGGCAAAATCTCCTGAGCCAACTCCTGCACAACTGACTGGCACCATCAAATGCTACTGCTGTGGCAAAACGTGTCATTGGGCTTCTGAGTGACTAGCTCTTTCACCGATCCCTCAACCGCAACCATCAACTGCTACGAGGGGCAGGAGAACACTGAGGAAAACCCCAGACATGAGCAGATCTGCCCAGCAAGCCATAGAGATTCCCCTCCCCACAGAAGACAGTGAGGAACCTTCAGCTAAACAAATTCCTCCTGGAGATACTAACGGAAAGGATGACCCAATGGTGTTAAAGTACAGTTAAAGTAAAGCTGACAGTGCCAGAGACTGGGGAGCAAGGGAAATTAGAAGCAGTGATCGATACAGGCCATACTAGGTGCCTAATTGGACTTATTATTGTTGAACAATTAGAGATAAAGACGAGGGCCCTAATCCCAATTAGATTCAAGCAAGTGGATGGAACATTGATTGGTGGAACTCAGGCCACCCAAGTTACAGAGTTCATCAGATTAGAAGTGGGCAGGCACTGAGAGTTCATACTGTTTGTGATTGCTCTCAAAATGACAGAATCTGGGAGCTTGCTTGGCTGGATAAATGGGCACTCACCATCAAGTGGGAAGATGGGTACCAGAAAATCATCATTGGGGTTAACCCAGTGCCACAAGTCCCTCCAAAAAGGGAATTACCATTTAGTCCAGTCCCACCGACAGAAGCGGCGGTCACGCCCAGAAGCCGCAGCCACCACCTTACTTTCACTCCCAGGTGAACCGCCGGTCCCCAAAGAATACAGAGATCTAGGCGATATGTTTACAAAGGAGGAATGCAATGTCCTCCCCTCTCATCAGCCAACAGACTGTGCCATTGAAATAGAACCTGGTGCCAAACTGCCAAAGCCAAACATGTACTCTATGATGCCCGCAGAAATGGTTGAATTGAGAAAATACATTGACACCAATTTGTCCAGAGAATTTATAGAGACAGCAAAATTTAAAGCAGCTGCCCCTGTACTTTTTAAAGAAAAAAAAAGATGAGGGGCTGAGTTTATGCATGGATTTTAGGGGGATCAATGGGATGTACATACAAAACACATACTCCCTACCCCTTATGAAGAACTTGCTAAACCAAGGGTTGCCAACCTTTTGGACCTCAGGGACCACCAAACTCATAATTTTAAATCCCACAGACCTGGGAAAATCCCAAAAAAGGTCTGCAGGAAAATTCCTCACCCCGTTTTCCTACCAATCGATCATTCTTTATTTGGGATTGCTGGATAACGTCTCCAGCCCCGTTCTCAGAGGGAGGGAAAGAGATAGAGACTTTTGGCTTTGTGCAAAGAAAGCAGCAGAAGCAGCAGAAGTTTTTCTTTCTCTCCCCCAAACTCTGCCAGAAATGAGTCTTTGTGAGACTTATTGCGCCAGCGAAGCCTCTTGGAGCAAGATGCCTTGCAGGGTCCCAAAGACTCATTTCTGCTGGAGTTTGAGGGAGAAAGAAAGACTTTTGCTGATTTTCTTGCATGCAGCCAAAAGCAGAAGAAGCAGAAAGTAGCCCGGTGGCCAGGTGAGGCACATGGGGTGAGTGGGGCAAGTTCCCCCCCTCCGCCCTTTCCCCCCCTCCCTTCACTACCTCATGTTGTTTGCAATGCAAATGACGCAAGCCTTGTGTTCCCACGAGCCATGTGGGCGGCACAGCCTTGTTTTCCTGTGCAGCCTGGGTTAATTGCTTTGGGGGTGACATTTCTCTGCGGACCACCAAAATCTTCTTGCAGACCACCAGTGGTCCCTGGCTCACTGGTTGGCAACCACTGATTTGGACTGTTATTGATTTGTTCTCTAAACAATCCCACTTCACTGCTTGTAATGGACTGCTGTCTGCCAAAAAACTGGCAAAATTGTTCGTAAAACATATTTATCGCCTTCATGGAGTACCGCTGTGGATAATATCAGACCAAGGCATTCAATTTACTGCTAAATTATTGAAAGACTTCCTGAGATCCATTGGATCATTCCAAGGGCTTAGCTCAGCTTTTCATCCAGCTACAAACAAATCTGTGGAACATTTGAATGTTGTGGAGGAGCAATATATTAGATGTTAGGTAAATTATCAGCAAGAAAATTGGATGGATTTATTGCCATTTGTTGAAGTAGCTTACAATAATGCAGTACACAGTACTACTGGATTAACCTCTTTCCAAATTACCACTGGCATGGACTTCATTCCTGTTTCTGAATTACCTAGGGAACTACCAACATCCATGTCACTAACAGAGTGGATGGATTCACTAAAAAAAGGCTGGAAAAATACAAAGAAAGCCCTAATGGAGGCTGTTGAAAAAATAAAACCCAGGCAGACAGGCATAGATCTCTTTAACTGCCTTTTAAAGTAGGAGATCAAGTCCATGAAATTTCTTAGATCAAGATTACCTAGTAAAAAAATTAGGACCCAAATTTCTTATCCTTTCCCTATAGTGAAAGTAATTAATCCAGTTACCATCCAGCTTAGCTTTCCTCTCATATTGGGCAAAAAATGTCTTTCATAGCATTTATTAAAACCCGCTATCAGTTCCACGCTGTGACCCATTTCAGCTGCTCCCCGCAAGCCTATTGTGATACAAGGTAAAACTCATTATAAAGTGAAAAAAATCTTTGACTCTAGGTTGCATTGAGGGCGCTTACAGTATTTAATGCATTGGAAAGAGTACCCTTTGTCAGAAGCTATCTGGGTAAAAAGTTGGGATGTGAAAGCAAATAGATTGGTTAAATAATTTCATGACAAATTCCCCCAAAGCCAAAAGGTCCTTCTGGAGGGGGGAGGGGAGGTTAATTGGTCAGAGGTACAAAGTATTAACCCCTTCTTTTGTTTTGTCCATTTTCTTTTCTTTTCCAGGAAGTGATGTTTTTTTCCTCAGGGGGGAGGATGCCTGTCAGTCTTGGAAGCCATATTAGCACCAGAAGCTTCCACGCTGCCACATTCCAATGCCTGAGAAATTGGGAAGGGGGATTTCTTAAAGTGAAGGTAGTTAGACATAATAGCATTCTTCTTCTCAGTCAAGGTCATGTCATCCTGCATCTGGACAAGGAGTGGTTAGAGGGATATCTCCAGTTGGGGTGGTGATTGAGCCATGTGATGTAATGATGGGTGAAGGGGATGGGTCTTTGATTTTGAATTACTGAGGGAAAACCCAGAACTCTCAGATTCGGGTTTTCCCAGATGTGCTAGTATGACAACTCTAATAAAATGGAACCTTGAGATAATGTCTGTCTTGAAGTTTTTTGGAGTTTGTTTTCTGGAACAGTGACATATGACACTAATCTTTATTGTTATGATGGATTAAATCCGAAGTATCAAATTCCCATTGTCACATGATGTATTGGGACTTTTCTCCCCTTCACTAAACCAGTGGGTGTGACGCATTTGGCCCGCGGGTCATGAGTTTGACACCCCTGGATTAAATCCAATCAGCACAATGGAAACAAGAGTTCCAAGTAAATCCACAACTCTCAAGAGGACGAGTTTGGGACTTTTTCTTCATGGATACTAACAAGGTTGACAATTATTTGAGAAAAAGAGACTTGACAGAAATTCTAGAGAATAATAACATTTTATTGTAGAAGGATAAGCGGGAAGGAGTGCCTTAAACTTAATGAAGCAATTGAAGTTAGGATGGCTCTTTACAAATATATGTAATTGAAAGAAAGTTCGAATGTAGTTTTGTGTGTATAAAGTTGGTTTAAAAATTTTCATATACAATGCTTGAGTAATTCCTAAAATTTGAAAAATACTATTAAAAGTGAATTTGAAAGTATGTATGTTAGGAGGATGGAAAAAAGATGTACTAAAGTCTTGAGTCTTAAAATGGGTTTAAATAAAAGGCTTTTCTCCTTTAAAGTTAAATAACCTGAGTTAATAACATTGATTAATATATGTGATAGTTTATAAACATTAATAAGTACAAACAGAAATGTATATTATTTTCCACAGCAAGGGGAAAAAAGTAAAGATGGTTAAATTGATTGCTTTATTTTAAGAAAATAACATATTTAAACTTGCTTCCATTTGCAAATCACTTCTGGATTTTGTGATTGTGCTAAAATAAAGGAAATGTTGATTTTGATGATTACATGGGTTTGTACTGATTATAAATGGCTAGTATTTATTACTGTGTAAAAGTAAAAAAGTTGAGTGTAGTTTTATTATATTTTATTGTGGTACAAAGAGTTGGAAGTTGGAAGCTTTTTTCTTTTTTCCTTTCTAGGCCAAAGTTGCTCCCTTTCTCTTTTTCTTCCCCTATTATTTTCATTTTCTTTATATTTCATATTTTGATAAACTAATAAATTTTGCAACAGAGAACTTTAAAGCTAATATTAATGAGTTTTAAGATCATAAAGTCTTAGGTTTTTGGACCACAAAGCTGAAAATCTCATAAATCTTAGCCTTGTCTGCATGGAAGATATTTCAAAATCATCATAATTAAATGGAGAGCTACAAGGGATTGTTGTGACATGGCTAGAAGTACTAAAGAAAAAATGTCCAAGGTTTTAGACTCAATTCCTATCACTTCTAACCAAGCAGGAAAAAAACATTTTGTTTTGAAGCTGTAAAGTTTTTGGGGGAAAAATTCTGGTAAAAGTTTAAAAAACAATAAACTGGATGCAATTACCAGTTGCTCTAAACCAGGGTCTTAAACTCAAGGCCCAGGGGCTGGTTCCGGCCCACGGGGTGCTTAAATCCAGCCCTCAGAGCCGGCCTGGAAATATCAAGGGACTGGCTCGTGGTGCCTCTGGCAGCTAAAACAGGGCGCGTTGTTTTCATCCTCTGTGGCCTCCTACAGCATTCTGCCTTCTGAAACTAGGCTGAAAAATGGGCCCAAAAGAGGCTGAAAACAGGCCAAAAAATGGGCTCAAAAATGGGCTCAAAACGGGTCAAAACCAGGCTGAAATATGAGCTCAAAGTAGGCTGAAAACAGGCTGAAAAATGGACTGAAAACAAAAAAAAACAGACTCAAAATGGGCCAAAAAATGGCCCCAAAACAGGCTGAAAAGAAGCCAAAAAATGGCCTGTTTTCAGCCAACAGGGTGCTGCAGGAGTCCATGGAGGGCAAAAACAAGGCACCGGGGGTGGGGGGGGGACACGGGACATGCAGAACAACCATACCCTGTTTTGGCCAGCAGGGTGCTGCAGGAGGCATCTGTTCCGCACCCCCACCCCCACCCTGCAGAGAACTACAATGCTGATCTGACCCTGAAAGAAATCCAGTTGGACATCCCTGTCCTAAACCATTTGTTTAGTGACTATCTGAAGTTACAACAGCACTGAAAAGTGACTTATAACTATAAACTTATAATTGTTGAAGAATTCCCAGAAGCACGTGATCAAAATATGGGGACTAGGCGACTGAAGAAGAAACTTCCCTGTCTCAATCCTCTGAATATCTGCATTCCTATGAAAAGCTTTGGAGCACTGTGAAGAGGCTGGGTTAATCTTCAGCTAGGGACAGGCAACCAAGATCATCATGGAAGAATCAGAGATTTCAAATTATTTTTAAAATGGACAATAATATGTGTCTTCTATCTTAGGCATTTAATTTTGTTCATTTTTTCTACTTTAAAGGGGACTTTTTTCAGCTGCAGCCTGCTTCTTTTTTTCAAATTGCATCATTATGGAAGCTCCATAATTTTAAAATGGCATCTGCATGAGGAAAGTGGGGCACAAGGTTCTATCTTAGGCCAAGTATTCTTCAACATCTTTATAAATGACTTAGATGAGGGATTATAAGGGGAATTTGCAGGTGTCACTAAGCTGGCAGGAACAGGCCACACCCCAGAAGACAAGTTCAGGATTCAAAAAGATCATCACAGACTTGAACAATGGGCCCTCTCCAACAAAATTAAATTTAATGTTAAGAAAAGTAAGTTTTATACCTAGGCAGGAAAAACCCTTACAAATATAGATTAGGTAAAATCTGGTTCAAAAACAATAACTTTAAGGGGGACCTTGGAGTCCTAGGTGACAATCACTTTAATATGAGCCAGCAATATGTGGCACTTGCCAAAAAATCTAATATAATTCTTGGTTGTAGAATCAGAGGTATAGAATCAAAATTATATGAAGTATTAGTACCGCTTTATAAAAGTTGGAAGTAACGCTTTTCTCCTTTTTCCTCTTTATGCTACAGTTCATTCCCCCCTTTCCACCTTTTCCTCTATTTTCTTTTCCATATGTATGTTATTTTTGATACGTTTAATAAAATTATATATAAGAGAAAAAATAACTGTCCTGCTTAGCAGTGGAGACTCTGATAACAATTGTGGTCATAAGTTGAGGACTACCTCTGGTGAATAAACTGTTATCACTGAAGTGTTCTGTTCATAAAACAGCAGTTTCTAAGTCAATACTGTGTGAAAATTGGTAGATTTTAGGATATTTTTCTGTGTAAACAATTTCTTACAAACTTTTAATGTTTAATTAATTTTAATTTAATAAAAACCTTTTAATAAAAATTAATTGTAATTAAATTTTAATTTACCCTTTAATTTTAATTTTAATTGTATTTTAATTTATTTTTAATTAATTAACTTTTAATTGGTGTGGGCTACATATTTCAAATTCAATTTGTCTTAAGTGCAGAATATGAACTAGCTCATTAGCTTAAAGACTGCAATACAGAAACTCTTTCATAAAGTGAGGCAAACATCTACAGTATGCTATTAAACATTTATTAAATAACAGAAATAAACAGAAATGTGTTAACAACTTCAAAGACAACAATATAGTAACTACCAAATGTAGGGAAGCAGCTTGACTACATGTAGGGCAGCAGCACAACAAGAAATAATTTAACACCCAGTCAGAGAACAATGCTCCTGGCGCCCTCACGGTGCATATGCAGTTCGGCAGGCAGCCGTTTGCCAAGAAAATAGAAACCGGAGGATTTCCTCGTGGCCGGCTGAATGTACAACTGCCCAAAACCTGAGTCAGAACTTTTTTTACTGTCCCAACGGCCATCTGGTCTAAATTGCTTTGGCCACTTCTGTTTGCTTAAAAAGCATTTTGAATGAATTATATGGTGCTGTCTGACCATGCTCCACTCGCCGTTGAGGCCCTCACTGAGGGCTTATTGCCTGCAACACCCAGTTAATGATAAGATCGGCATTGCTAGCTATAATTACTGCCCTTTTTTTTCTGCAAAGAGCTGAGATTTTGTTTTCTTATTGCTTTTTCTGTTTGCTTTCAGAGAATCCAGCTGAGTCAAGAATGACTGTCTCTTACGAAGGCTGAGCAAAAACTGGGGACGCTAAGGAGGAGTGTCCTCAGAATTCAGCTCAACCTATCGGATGAGAAAAGGAAGCACCTCCCATGTCTAGATGCTCTGAACAGCTTATCTGAAGAAACAGATACACAAAATTACATGAAGCACATTTTGATTTTGCAAGCCTTCCTAAAAGCTGTATCTTGATTACTTATTGCCTTTCTTATACTACAAAACAGCTTTCCATTAATTAAACTCTTTCATGTTTGATCAATACATTAAGTTATTAACACAATTTATTAGGTTTTTACTCCCTATATAATGTGAACCATCCCATTCTAGTTTATTCAACAACACATGGCAAGAACAAACCACAACTTTGAACAATATGAGTCCAATTGTACTACTAAAACCAAACCAAAATCATTGGTGGTAGTTGTACAAGCTTTTGGGGTTAAATAGAACAAAAGCAACAATTGTAAAATTAAATTTTCTTATAGTTCCCTTAGTTCCTTGAGGACATAAAATGAAATAAAAGTATGTAAAAGTTCCAAAAACAGTTAGACTAGAAAACAATACCATACTACATTTATTATGCAAGGGATATTCACCAAAGTCATTGATTTGCAAAACTCTATATAGACTCATAAAAACAGTTACCCTTTTCCCAATCAGCATAACTTTACAACCATTTTTCACTCCAAGCGTTGACAATGGCTGTTCCATTTCTTTCAATGACTTTCCTAATAGAAAAAGAATAACCAAATCCTCAAATTTATTTTGGGAAATTCAACAAACAAAAACAAAAATAAAGTTTAAATGCATTCAAAATATGATGGATGAAACAACTTTATTTTAAAAAAGATATTATACTTTGTATATACTATATATATATATTTGTTTTCTGAGGTTTTTGCGGGTATTTGTATGTGGATCTTTGGTTATTCGGGTTTTCTCCGGCGTAAAATTGGAAGTATCTAGGCGATATTTCGATGAAGTAACGCACAAACTCCGAGAAGCACAAAGCCGAAGACACAAGCCTAAAGATGATGAATGAGACTTCATCAAAACGCCGCCTAGATACTTCCAATTTTACGCGGGAGAAAACCCAAATAACCAAAGATACACACACACACACACACACACACACACACACACCTACCTAAGTGCAACCTGTTTCTAATAAGATTATTAACTTCCTACCCCAAATGCAAGAATACTGCTTTGGGGAGTGGGGCAGGAAGAGGTGGCATTTTGGAGGCATGCTGAATTCAGAACACATCTGCTTTAAACAAAAGCAGACCTCCAAAAATGCATGAAGTATCGTTATAGGAATGAGATACTTTCCCCACCACAAAATTTTAAAACCAAAATAATTTTTATATTAAGTTCTTTTCAATCCATCAAGTAAGCAGTTTAAAAATTATTTTAACATTTTAATTCAAATTTAAAAAATATTTTAAAAATTAATTTTCTTTAATGTTATTAAAGGCAGAAAGCAAGGAAAATACTTTGGAATGATCTCATCATTCTTGGATATTACCGATATTTTTGTTAATGTACATCATCTTTATTTTTCAACTATTCCTAAGTTAAAAAGTTGATATGAAATATTATGAAAACATTTCTATGTGAAAATCTCTCTTATACATTTTCCTCAAAAACAATGAAATAATTGTAAAGCTTCTGGTTTGCAGGGCTTCAGCGACAGGCAGGAATCTGCGATCGTGCGCGGTTTCTGCCTGGGCTCGCCGCTGGAGCGTCCCGAGCCAGTCTGGCTTCGGGGCTAAGCCACCCTGTAGAGGTGGCAAAGAGGGGGGAGATCCCAGCAGGGTCAAGGAAAGCCACATCTTTCCTCCCCAGCTGGCTAAACTCCCTTTCCTGAAGGCAAACGAGCGGCGGTCAGAAATGACCGCCTCAAAGAAGCACTCATCTGGAAAAGAAAGTGCAGGAGGAAGTTAAGAAGTGAAAGTTTTGGCTAACCGGGATAAGAAGCAACAACCAAGGTGACCTGGAATTTAAACTTTTAAAAAGATAGATTCGGAAGCAACGAATGAAAGTGAAAAGGGAAAGTTTTTTTTTCTTTCACTCTCCTTCCTTACGTTGACAGCGAACAGAGATGAATGAGAAATTGGAAAAACCCGCTTTAGCATCAAGAGGTAATTAATTTGAATAATTAAATGTCAAGGGGACAATAAGGATTTCTGAACATAAAAAAAAAATCTTTTTTGCTGTAAGTGGGAAGGGAGAGGAAAAGAATAAGAGTAGGATTTGGAAGGAGGAGACTGCCTGGAATTTAAAAGAATCTGATTAAATTCTAACAAGACTTTTAAAAGATACATTTTAACTGGAACTTTGTAACTAAATAGTAACCCCAGGAAGAGAAAGTGAAAAAAGAAGAAAGTGTTAAAAGAAACAGCTTGTGTGTATTTGGATTGCTTGGTGACTTTGGGACTTTTGAAAATTATATTTGAATGACTAAAAACACTTGGGTGGTTGTTTGAAATTTTTTTTACAATGGCACCACTTGTGGATGAACTGAAAATGAAATTTAAAAAATATAAAGAAGAAGAACAAGAAGGGAAGGGCTCTCCTGGCTCCGTTTTTCAATTCTTAGAAATGGCGATTTGTACCTATGAGAAACTACAAGAAAAGACTGTGCAACAAGAAGATTGGGACAAAGAAGAAGCCATCTTTGATGAACAAGTAACTTTACTTAGGGAAGAAGGGGGAAAGGGGGGGAAAGAGAATGGAGACTTTAAGACCCCAAAAAACAACCCAAAAAGGGAAAAATAGGGTGAAAAGTGGATATAATGTTAGAAAGCAACAGAAAAGGGGAACACAGAAGAGGGAAATGGAGGTGGAGAGACAAGGAGGTAAAAAGGGCAGAGAGAAGAAGCAAGGGAGGAAGGAAGAGAAGAGAAGCTACAAAGGTGTGGAGCAAGATGTAAAGAAACAGGGCTTATTTAGAGATAGTGGGTAGGTAAAAATGTAACTGAAAAAGTAATTCTGCAAAGGTACGTAAGATTGTATTGTTATATTTGTATTAGAAATAATGTTAGAAAATTGGAAACAACATATGATTAAAAAGTGGGATAAAATACTCAGTGTAATTCAGTGAAACTTTTGTGAATAAAATAAATGAAATGAAATAAATGAGAGAATTGAACTAGGAAGAAATGGGAATGTTTTAATGATATAATATTTTAAAATATGACTGAAGGGGGGGGGAAGTAACTATGGAAAGTTTATAAGTGTTCCCATAGAAGTATGACACTTATTTGAATAAGGTGTAAAATGTTTAAGATTTAAATGAATACTAATATTAACAATAGATTTGAATAGGTATGGATTGTTGTTTTAATTATATTATATATTTATAATTTTTTCTGTTTTTAAAATATAGTGTGTAACTTTAGAATGTACTAAGCAGAATCCGAATGGAAGTTATGTATTATACTAAGTGTTATAAATTTAGAGGAAAGATATAAAGGCGTCATACTCCAATCAGTGATTACAGGAGAAATTTTGTTTAATGAGAAAAGATAATAAACAGCTGAAACAGGACAGACAAAGAATATAAGTATAATGATCTGAATTGAGATGAAATAAATAAAATAAAATTAAGAAAGTTAAAAGAGGGGAGAAGCTATATAGAAAATGTAGAATTGTAATAAGATATGGAATGGTATATAAAATGAACATGAATTTGAATTTGTGTCTGTATGAAGAGATGTAACCTGGGATCAAGCTGCTTTCAAAAAATATGTTTTATGTTTTATGTTTTGTTTGTTTATGTTTGTTTTTAAAAATCAATAAAAATTTTATTAAAAAAACAATGAAATAATTGTATCTAATTTTAAAATCAATCCATAGATGAATAAAACATGAAATTATTTTAACTACTACAATCTTCCAACTAAGTAAAATATTTAATACTGAATATATCAAGCACTTGGCTTACATTTCTATATCTGGGATAGAACTTAACAGGACTTGTGCCTGGATATACATGGAAGTTGTACTTACCCTTATATATCAGTTTCTGAAAAGACACTGGAACTCCAGTTACTTGCTCAGTTAATAAAGCCAAATCATGTACTGTTGGTTGACTATCTTCTTGAGAATTAACCTGAAGGTTATGCTTTTCATTGCCTGAAGATAAATAATATGAAAATATATTCAGGTTACATTCAGGGAAAACAATAATGAGAATCAAAATCTTTTTTAAAAAAAACTACTCTGATTTTAGACTATTATCAAAGATCAGACCAAATCTCAAATCTCTTAAGAAACTAGATAACACCAAAAATTTCAAGGATTTTTGAATTAAAGTTGTTTTAATGTAGATAAGAGAAACATTTGGTATATACATAGGAACCTACTGCATAAATCAAACCATATGCAAATGACAGCCCCAGGAATTCAACCTTAATTTCCTTCCAGCTTTGAATCAAATTTTTTTTATTATTTTTTGGCCTTGACAACTAAGTCCATATAGCAGATCTGTCTGAACTGAATATTATTGGTTGTCACCTCATCATCTTTAATCATTATACCGTAGCTTCTTTCTGAGGTTTTAATGTTTTAAAATATGTTTTTGTTTTAATAAAACAAAACTATTTTTCTTCAAAAAAAAAATTATTTTATTCAGAAAATTAAAATACAAACTTCAAAAAACTTTAGAAAAACAGAACTAGCCAAAGCATATTAGAAAAATTGTGCATTAAAAAAGACAAAACACATAACATATCTTGTCCTCCCTAGTTGAATACTGGTAGATGTATCCAGCAATGTTCCCCCCTCCCTTGCAAAACAGGTCCACAATTTGTAAGCTTCTACAAATCGATTTGAAACCATTTGACCTGCTATCTATCTGTGTATAAAAAGGTAGTTAACAGGTAATCCAGCCATGAAGTTACATTTCAAAACCCTCTGTTAACAATCTGTGATTATATTTAACTTGTAGAAGGTCTACAACAGCTTCTTATCTACCACAGACCACCACAATCACTGTCTCTGATTTGTCCAGGATCAAATATCTTTGATTATTAATAATAATACATTTCCTTAAAATTTTAATTAAGATATTTCTGAACAATTTCTTCTAATTTCCCAAAGTCATAGGTCCTTCTCTAGGTTGAGACACAACGTTTCTTAATATTTATTTTCCATTTAAATAAAATAATTCAACCCCCTAATTTCCATCAATATTTATGAAATAATCTATTTCATCGGTCATTAATTCTTTCAGCTTTGAGTCTTTAAAATCCACAGCTCTTTCAGCTGTCACTAAGCAGCCTGCATTCAAACCTAGCTCCTTCTTCAGCTCTGCTAGGAACAAATTAAATTCCAATCTATTCGGTGGTAAAACTGATTCAATAATTATTACTCACAACTGATCATCTTTAGGTGGATTTAAAACTATTGTTAATTTGTTAAACTAAAGTTTCAATTAGAGCTTATAAACTAAAAAACATTTTGTTTTCAAAAGCTTCCCAAAGGGCTTTAAGTTGATTTATTGTTTGCATTTTTGTTTTAATACAGGACTATACTGAGTTTTTACAGCTAGCCATAAACAATTCTCAAAGACAGGATGAACCATGACAAAATAGCTCAGAGAAGATTGAAAAAATCTTTTCCACAGTAAGAAGTATAAGGAAAAATTTAAAAAACCAGAAGACCGGAGCTTTTAAAAATTAATAAAATGTGAAATCCCTGTAGTGAAAGTCCAGTACAAATGCAAACCATTCCTGATTTCTTTTACTAACCAGAGAACTGCCATGTAATTCCATGTAGAGAAAATGAAATTAATTTAGAACTGCTATCAAGTATAAGAGAAACCACAGAGAATTTACTTTAAATACCAGCAAGGCCTTAGAGTAAATCAGCATTGAACCAGTTGATTAGTATTTAAAACTGAAGGTCAAAAGGAAAAGAAATATCAAAATGTGGGGTTAAAATCAAGGCAGGTTTAAAAAACTAAAAGTAGCTAAAAGTAAACGGTGGAGAACCAATGCTCTGGCCACTTCTATCGAAAATTTCAATCATCAAGATTCCTTTTCAGGTAGTTCCACGGTTGGCCAATGGTAATTTTGGATCATTTCTATGAGCTTCCATTCAAATCTAGGGACCTATGTGCAGCCAAAAATACCAGTTTTGGCAGTAAATCAGCTGCCTGCAACAAGGACAAAATCATTTAGGGTAAGACACCAAAGTAACCTATTTTTCTGACCTAACATTTTTATTAGATCAGCAAAATATGTCATATATTTTAGCTTATGTCCACAGAAACCCTCAATATATGTATATATATCAAATGTAAATCATATAATTTACTAGAAGAAAAAATAAAGGGTCTAGAAACAATTCTAGCAACTCTGAAACTCAGTGAACAAAGCCAGAATCCCCAACCTAAACAAGAAGACTACACCAAAATTAAACACAACAGGGAGCAAACAGCTTATTTAAAAAGGACCCCATATATGAACAAAAGAAAACCAATACACCAAAATTGAACACAATAGGGAACAAACAACTTCCAAAAAAATTGATTCTATATATGAACCTAAAGAGCAAGACCCATGGAAACATGTCACTTTTAGAAGAAAACTGTAACCAAGAGCAAAGCCCCTACTATCTATCCTAGCTCACTCCAGTGAAGCCTCTCTGGAACTGGACAATATTTCATAACCTCCCCCTGGAAGAAATTATGCAGACACCTACAAAAGAGCAGTCATCAATAGTTTCTAAAAGTGAGACACAACAGAGCATTCCTGTGACAGGAAGAATAGTATCCCAGATTTCCCTAGGAAAAAAAAAGGTGAATATTGATGATATGAGATTTGATTCTTTGGGAAACAGAAAATATAGTCTGCGGACTGAACAGTCAATCTAGGGAGGTATGTTGCCTCCCTGGAACAAAAATCAAAAATGTAACTGAGAACATAACTAAAATAATTGACCCCATGGATTGCTATCCCTTTTGTTCTCCTACACATGGGGACCAGTGGTGGGATTCAAATTTTTTTACCACCGGTTTCTGTGGGCGTGGCTTAGTGGGCATGGTGTGGCTTAGTGGGTGTGGTTTGGTGGGCATGCAGGGGAAGGCTACTGTAAATTCCCTCCTCACTCCTGGGGGAAAGTTACTGCAAAATCTCATTCCCTCCCCACCCCTCTAACCTGCTTTCTAGCTCCGTTCTCCTGTGCAGAGCAATAAAAGAAGACCCAGCTGATCAGCTGGGACTTGGGAGGCAGAGAACAGATGGGGGTGGGGCCAGTCAGAGGTAGTATTTGCCGATTCTCCGAACTTCTCAAAATTTCCGCTACTGGTTCTCCAGAACTAGTCAGAACCTGCTGAATACCACCTCTGATGGGGACCAATGACACAACAATGAATCTAAAAACAATAAAAAGAAATTACAAACGCTAGGGAAGAAAGTTGAAGAATTAGGAGTACAAGTGTATTTTTCATCTATACTTCCCACAAAAGGCCAGCATCTAATGAGGGAGTAAAGGATTTTAGAACCAATCACTAGTTTAAAAACAGGTGTCATTAAAAGAACTTCGATTTCCTAGACCTGTGATGGCAAACCTATGGCACACATGTCGGAAGTGGCACGCAGAGCCATTTCTGCCAGCACATGAGCTGTTGCCCAGAACAGATTCACTGCGCACACACGCACATCTCCTGCCAGCCAGCTAATTGTCAGGTATCTGCTGCGCATGCACAGGGAGTGTGAGACATGCATGCATGCGGAGAGGTGTGCAGCATGGGGTGGTTGCACGCGCATGTGCAGGGGGGTGAAGTGTTGCATTATGGGTGCAGGCATGTGTGCACGCACGTGCATACACTTTTGGCACACAACAACAAAAGGGTTAGCCATCACTGTCCCAGACTATGCATCTGAGCCTTTTGCAAATTATTCCTTAAGTGCTGCATTGCAGCAGCCTCTCTGTTAGTAGAAAGGCCTCTTTGTCTTTTCTTTTTCCTCAAAGGGGCTTGGGAGTCTTGAGAGTCTTCCAGTCCTTTGGGGCCAGGTTGGGGGGCTTCCCTCTCCATCTGGCTAACAGAGCAGACACCAAGGGTGCTGTGAGCTTCCCCCACATAGGTGCTGCCTGTTGCCTAGGCCAAGCGAGTCAGGAGACTCTGAGGCCTTGGGGAGGCACTTTCCCCCAAATCAAATGGCCACCCTCCATGTGGGGTAGCCCTGGGATGGCCTAACCACCCCTTTGCTCCTTAGACTCTTACCAGGCCCCAAGCAGTCAAATTAAGTGGGAACAGCTGAGAAGCAGCAGGAAAGAAGCTCCAGAGTCAGCTGTAAAGCGGCTTGGCCGGCGGCAGCAATGAGGTTGCGATCAGTGGGGCTGCCTGGGAGGTTCCTCTGAACATTCCCTGGGTCCGCAATCCTTGCACAGCAGGGCTGAAGACTCAGCGCTGCAGGAAAGCAGATCCTTACTCTCCTGGAGACAGAGCTCTACCAGATCCCCGGGAGCTGGATTTTAAATTTATTGCTGTCTCTTTTGAGTTCAAACTTTTCCTTTAGCTGTTTAAAAGCACTTCTTCCAGAGACTGTGCTCTCAGACAAAAAGCTGAGCCAAAAGATGGGCAGGCCAGCCAGAGGCTGTCTTTTTATAGTGGCAGACTCAGCTCTATGACATCAGAAGGAGGAGCTTAAACCATTCCTGGACTCTTGAAGCAGCATATAGGAGAACGAGTTTACCCTTGGGATGAAGGAGAGGTCGATGCGCAGGACAACCCTGTTGTCGTGGAATGTAGAGAGGTCTTCCCTGATGGAAAGAGTTACCAATTCTGATATGAGCCTGGCTGATGTGATGGCCACTAAGAAGGCAACTTTGAGCGTTAAGAAGCATAGGCTTACTGATTGAAGAGGTTCAAATGGGTCCTGAGTAAGGGCTTGTAACACTGTAGACAGGTTCCAAGAAGGATATCTGTGGACTGTTGGTGGTTTAAGATTGATAGCTCCTTTGAGGAAGGAGCGGACAACTGGATGATGAGCTAAGGAATTCCTCTTCCCATAGTGCAATATAGTGGACAGGGCTGCTGTCTTCCTGCATAGCGTACTATGCAGAGAACCCTTTGTCAAGTCCTGTTTGTAGAATGTCTAGGATCTGTGACACTGAAGCCACAGTTG